CTCGGTTAGTTAGTCTTAAATGTCTCAACAACTACTGGATGGATTGCTGTGAAATCAGCCTTTCATGTACCCTCAGCATACATTGCAATAACGTTGATGATCCTTTGACTTTAATTTAGTCCAGTACTTTGGTTTATTAGGATGAAATACCTACTGACATTCCCTTCAGCCTCAGCTGTACTCTAGTGTTTAGTACCAATAATCAAATGCTAGCATGCTAAACTAAAATGGTGAACATGGTTTAAGAGTATACCTGCTGAATATCAACACATTTGCTGCTTAATAGAAAAAGAAAACTTGCACGGTTCTTAATTTCGACGACTAATCCAGTGTTTCCCAATAATTACTTTCAGTGGTCTGCCTGCCACTGTTTCATAATGAACTGTATAGATTTTTTCACTGGGGTTTCAACCTACACTTTACATTTTTGCGGTGTCATCATCATTCATATCTATACAACCAATGATTGAAGCATTTAACTAAAAACAATGTCCAAAACTAAGGGTGAATATTCTTGTATTTTTGAAGACGGCATTGTCAGTTTTTTTCCAGTATCGCACAGCCCTGACTGGAAGATAGCTTCGAAAAACATGTCAGCCAGGCTTGATGACACCTTGTAGACGGGGTTATCATTCACTTGTTCTCAAACGACATGCACTGTTTGTTCCCAATAGGACCTTAACTTCCCTGGACCCCCTCTCTCACCCAGGTTCCGGACCAAGACCCTGTCACCAGGCTAGAGGATGACTCCTTTCAGGTGACGATCATAATATCTCTTGCCTCTAGCGCTTGATTGTTGACTATTCTGAGAGGCAACTCGATAGGCTTCTCTTATTCGCTTCGCCCATTTCTCTGCGTAACCCTTAGGATAATCTGCTGCCTCTTCTGTGGACAGCCCAAACAATGGGTCAACAGGTAGGATGACGTCCATACATTAAGTAGTGTGGTGAAAACCCTGTGGCTTCATGTTTGGTGCAATTATACGCATGCACAATCCGTGGTAGGTGTTATTTCCAATTGCTCTTCTCTTTCTCTTCTAGGGTTCTCAACATCTGAAGCAGGGTTCGATTTAGACGTTCTGCTGGGTTACCCTGCGGATGGTAAGGTGTTGCCCTGGAGTGGCTTATTCCGGTTAGTTGTTGTAGAGTTTTGAATAGTTTGTTTTCGAACTCTCTGCCCTGGTCATGTAGCTTGGCTGGGTATCGAAAGTGAGTAATGAAATCATTGAAGATTCTTTGGGCAGCTGTTCTTCCAGACTTGTTCCTCGTTGGAAAAGCTTGGGCAAACCTGGTGAAATGGTCTATGACAACCTCCCTTGCTCGTCTCTAAATGCATGTAGACAATGGAGACCAGTTCCAGTGGTGAAGTACTGGTGACACTTCCCATTGGTGCTCTGATGTGAGTGACAGGTTTCTTATTTTTGATACAGGGGCATCTCCTGGTCACGTGAACTTCAATGTCTCTTTTCATAAAGGGCCAATATAACCTATATCTCGCCAAGGTAAGGACTCTCAGTTCCTACGTGACCCATGTCATCATGGTGCTTTAAAGCCACTGCGTGGTACTTTGTTGGGAGGACGAGTTGTTGTCGCTGCGTTGTCTGCCTGTACAGCAGTTGATTCCTGATGTGGAGTTTCCCCCATTCATGCATGAGTTTTCGCGGCAGTGGTGCCCAGCTCTCATCAAGGTCCCCAGTCCAGTGGACGTTAGAGCACCAAAGTATCCTCCACCAGCTCATTAACACGCTCATCAACCCACCTGTACTAGCATACCCTGACTTTGACCTTTACCTTTGCCGTACACACTGATGCCTCAGAGCAAGGGTTAGGTGCAGTGCTCCACCAGCACCAGGAAGGAAGACTGAGAGTCATCACCTATGGTTCAAGGACTTTGTCTCCGGCTGAGTAGAACTACAGGCTTCACTCTGGCAAGCTTGAGTTCCTCGCTTTGAAATGGGCTGTTTGTGAGAAATTCAGGGACTATCTGTTTTATGAGCCCCACTTCACAATCTACACAGACAATAACCCACTAACATACGTCATGAGCATGGCCAAACTAAACGCCGTTGGTCACAGATGGGTAGGTGAACTCGCAGGCTTCCGATTTGATATCAGATACCGACCAAGGAAGAGCAATGTTTATGCTGACACCCTCTCCCGTCTACCACTGGACATTCACAGGTATGTGACAGAATGCACCGAAGAATTGTCCAAGAAACCTGTATTTGCAATGTGGGAAAGTAGTCAGGCTGCAGGGAAACAAGACATTGCTTATGTGGCAGCTCTTAATCTTGCACAAGACCCAGAACCTCATGGGATAGGACATCTGCCTACTATTAACCATGATGAGCTGGTCAAGGCTCAGAGAGAAGACACAGCAATTGGAGCACTAATAAGACTGAAGGAAACAAAGAGAGTCTTGTCAAAAGGCAGATCATCTTGGACATGGGAGAGCTGGACCACGTCCTCGAGACCAGCGTCGAGAAGGACGTGGTCTGCGAGGATGAGGACTCTTTTTGCCTCTCGATAGACAATATCACGTCACTCAAACTGCTTGTTTGTCAGCTGGAGGAGCGCAAGGCAGAGAACGAGGCGACGTGCGAGGCTCACCGGGAGAAGATTCGCTGGCTGTGGGGCCGACTGGGTGTGCCTCAGGAGGAGAGAGAGGCCTTCAACGAGCACATGGTCACATCCAGGAAGAGGAACCTGGAAGCGCTACAAGCACAAGTTCAGTGTCTGGAGGAGCTCAAACGGCTGAAGATCTGCTCCACAGACTCATCGATGGCTTTAGATGTTCTCCATATTCAGGCTGGTTTAATGGATTTGGAGCTTGTGGAGCCAACATTAGCAGAAAGTGAATGCAGTGAAGAAAAGTCCCAAAACAACTGCGAGACCCCAAATCCAGACTGGTAGAGATGGGCACACAGACATCACCTGGACTAGCCCGGAGATCCAGAGGCAGACCCAAGAAAAGCAGCGTCTAATTAATCTATTGAAAAAAAGACTTAAATTGTCAATCTTCTGGTTTTAATTAACAGAATAACTCGGCCTCCTTTTAAAAAAGTTCTGTCCAGTAGTAATGAAACGAGTGAAGATTCTGTCCTGCTGGTCTGCTGGAGTGAAGACCTGTGAGGGGTTTTAGTGAGGAAAGCCCAGTTGTGATGCATTTACTTGAGCTGAAAGTATGTGGGTAAAAAAGTTATTGACTGCACATTTCCATTTCAGATATTGTACTCATATGAGTCTTATATAATGTACCTCTCAGGAAACAGCAAAAACAAAATCCTATTCAACATCTGAAAAACACTAGGGATGTAAGGCTGCTATGAGTTTAGCTAGCACTAGACAGTAAGTCTTAAAACAACACTCACGTAGCTACTAAACAACTACATGAAACAAAGTAATCTATAAACATGTTCACTAAAAATTGGTCCATAATTCATATGTCATATTTGGTGCACTTTACAAGTCACTAACCTGAGAAAACAGGAAATAATGAGACAGGCAAACGTGGCTTCTTCATTCAATGTCTTCTCGAGCTATGCGGAGACGCTGCACGCGCACATATAAGTATAGGGCCGCGAGGCGAAACCACAGCGCTGCACTGCCACCTACTGGGCATAGATAGAAATACACTTCTGAGGAAGTTTTATTACTATTAGCAAAATCACAGAAATTCGTTCTATAAAATAAACTAAAATGTGACCATACATTTTGTGTGCGTCACATATAGCATAAAACGCATTTTTCAGTGTGCTCTTTAAACTTCCTGTCCCACCGTTGCACAGTTTGCGAGTTCATATTTTTTAACGTTCAAAACCATGGCACCCCCATATTTAAACATTTGAGAAAATTGACTGTAGAAAACGAACAGGAAAAAAGCTAAAACAATCACTAAGTGACTGACTCACTAATTGATGTTTGTAGGCAATAGGTCTGTGTTGGGTTTCTGCTGCAGCTTCGGAGAAGAAGAGAAGAAGAGCTCCTCTCTATTGGTCTCACTGTGTTGAATGAATCACAAAAAGATAGTTCTGAAATGATTAGTTGTAAACTTATCTTATAACCATCTGGGGCAAAAGCACCAAGCAAAATTATTCCGTACTAAAAATACTAGAGATGTGGTCCAGCTTGATGTTTTTCTACTTTTGTATTTAACATGATTATAAACTAAAGCGATTGGACTGTTATGGATGATGATTATTGGTCAGTAGTTTTCGACAGAGTAGCTTAATGCTTAGTCAATTAATGGGATAACTCATCAATAATTAAAGTTAAAAATTGTCATCAGGCCTATAGGCAGATTTGATATAAGAAGTTCTTAAAATTCTTCCAAAGTTATACGATTAAGTTACAAATGTAAATTAATGTACGGTTAGTTTTTTAGTAATCTATCTATTATCTATCTATCAATCTACGTATCTGTCTGTCTGTCTGTCTGCACACGTATTGCGGCCTCTGTACAACTCTGCAACATCTGGCTAGGCTTTTCTGCCGGTCTCCTCGCGACAGAATCCGAACAGCTCGTGCAACCTCTGTAACACCGCAACACTGCGGTGCAGAGGGCCCGTCTCCTCTGGTGGAGAAACAACTGTAACACCGTAACAGTGCGATGCATCAAGTCCGAACGAACGTCGCATTGACGCGCTGAGCTAGCAAACACTGCGTAGTAGCCTCGAGCCACGATCCTGATGCGGATGATGTCAGTGATCGAGGACGGGAGCACGTTTGTCATCAGCCGGACCTGCTGAGCTCAGAACACGCGACCGCTAACCCAACGTCATGCTTTTGCAAAGCTCCGAATGGTTAAATGCATTTTAATATGTGCACAGACGCGAGAATAGATATGCACAATCCATATCGTGATGAATCTGTAGCACCATCGCGGTGATGTCAAAGGAGACAGAAATCAGCAGTGGTTGCAGTGAGTGGAGGTAAAATGCACCCACTGTAGTGGCCGTAGCCTGCACCGCGATAGTGCGAATCAAAAGCCCCAGGTCTTACCGCATCAGTCCGGACTGCCAGCCTCTGCTGATCCATAGTGTGTGTCAGGGATGCGATACGAGGCAGTGCGATAGTGGTTTCCCGATGACGACATCGGACATGTGCAAGAGGTAGAGCTGCAATATCCGCCTTATTGGTCAGGTTCCCCGGATTCTTTTCCAATCCTCTTCCTTTACGCTACATCGTTGGTTGATTTCTGCGCAACCCCGCTGCACCATCCACATCTACGTGGCCGGAACCGCCCCCCACACATCTCTCTCTCTCTCTCTCTCTCTCTCTCTCTCTCTCTCTCTCTCTCTCCTGCAGCACTGACTCGAGCGCGCTTTAAACCTCCGCCAAGGAGGCTGTGGCTGGCTCCGTCCTCCATCTGTTTGACTGTGACGAACATATTTCCATCAGGGCGATCTGTTGTGTGCATTTATCCTCTTATCAGTAAGAAACAGACATCTTTGGTGGCCCTCCATGACCTTGCCCTCAGCGCCACCATCAGGCATATATGTGTTTTGCATGTTGTGGGTGATTAATCGATGAGTCGACAGATAATGAATCGGAATGTTTTTGATTATTTATTGAAGTCATTTTTAAGCAAAAGTTGTCTTAGTTGTGTATGAATATATTTGGGTTTTTGATTTTTGGTCGTGCGGTTTTATAGATTAAACGATTATTTGATCAGTTAGGAACAATAATCTGCATCAGCTTTCTGGTCATTCAGTATCTGATCCTACTGCACTCCTTGCTCCAGTTGAAGATGAAGATGTCTTCGGATCATGGTCAGATCGATGAGTTCCGAGATTAAATTTGACCAAATATAATTTTCGGTTTAAAACAAAAAATACGTAAAAAAGCGTGACATTAATTTATGGATTGACCGATGATACCCTGATCCAATATTGCCTTTTGTTTTCAACTTATTCAACCACTTACGTCATGAGCCAAAGTGCTGATCCACAGTAAATTGTGGATTTTGATAACTTTTTATTGAGGGCTTTAGATTGTATTGAACAAATTTGAAGTTGATTTGATTAAATCTGTAGGAGTTCATTAAAGTACAGCAAAAATTGCACATTGAATTCAAAATAGCTCTTTCCTGATGGGTTTACGGTAGAGGTTTTTTTGTACGTCTCCACTCGTTACACATACCAAATTTCATTGATTTAGGTGAAACTTACAGCTACTACTCTCTAACATGTAGGGGGCGCTATTGAGTCATTTTGATACACCCATGCCCGAGACAAATCTTTCCACAGGTCTGAAGAGTGTGCCAAGTTTGGTGAGTTTTTGAGCACCTTTAGCCCCTCAAAAAATTTCATAAATAAAAATAAACGCCACAGTTTCAGCAGGGCCTTCGCCAATGCAGCAAATCTTCATTCTTCAGAAGCTGGAACCATTAAATATACGTATATGAAATAATTACTTAAACCATCATCGAAATAATACATCTTCTGTCAATCCAATATGAAAAACTTATCATTGATTACTAAAGCTATCAAATAATTATAGTGGAGTACAAAGTACAATATTTCCCTTTGTGCATGAAAAGAAAAATAATCAGGTCAAGCAAACATTTGTACTTAAAGGCAGGGTTGGTAATCTTCCTCAAAAACATTTTTGATATTTTTTTTTGAAATTCTCATTATGTCCTGACAGTTATCAATGAATCAAATGCTCCGACAAAAAAGAAAAAAAATCTGGAATCTTTGGCTGTCGCATCACTATAATAAGCCCGTCTTATCATTTCATTCGGCCTGAATGAAATGATTGGACGGGCTACCGACATGCCTACCTAGATTTAGCAACTTCTGGAGCTAGTGCTCCTTTCACTGGAAAAGAGTTCACTGGGCTGGGTTTTTAGGTTGGTTCATTTTAAAAATCTACCGTACTCTTGCTAGATTCTCTAAATTAACAATCCTAGCTTTTGCAGTTAAATAAATGTACTTTGTTACTTTCAACCACTGGCAGGTTTTACATAACGCAGTCCTCAGATGACTGGTAGAGATGTTGCTCATGTAAACTAAGGCACTGGGCCTCCACCTCTCTCTCTCTCTCTCTCTCATATCCACTGACACTGTTGGTTCTCAGCATCAGACTCTTAATGGTCAGGTTTGGGTTACACACACCTGCAAGTGATACCGGCTCATGAATATCTTGCTCTTCATGAATTATTACAGAGCTTGCGAGTTGTAGTGTGCATGTGCATCCATCCGGGCTGCCGTTCAGTGTGGACGGAACAACACAGGATGGACATCTCTGTTCTGCCCAACAACAACCACCCGGAGAAGTTCCTCCAGCTGGACGTTGGGATGCTGCCGGCCACACACGGCATGTTCCAGGTCGGGGCAGTCGTGTCCAGTCAGAAACACTGGCAGAACAGAGTCTACTCTCAGGTATGGACTACATGTCATCTTTCTGTATGCTTTTGGCTCTTGTTTCTCCCCTTTGACATTGAAAGCTGTGTTTTGTTCCTTAAAAAATGATTCCACATGACAACCCAACACAAAGACATGATTCATGACGTGCGTTTAGTCCTCGTGAATGATCTTCTAGCAGAGATCATGATCACCACCTGGAGCTGTGTGGAGATAGTGAGCTTGAAACAAGAGAACAGGACAGTGCTGCATTCAGTGTTTATCCAGAGGACTGGAGCATGGTCTAATATTTGATGTATAATCCAGATCAGGAAACAGAGAGGGTGGCCTTAGAGCGGTAAAGTAAAATGAAGTGAAAGGAAGTCCAAACTCTATAAGTCTGTCTGTACAACATACCACACCATCTACCCTTAAACCCTGCTCATTTGATTCATTGCACATGTGTCAGGGAATTTGCACCACTAAAGTACAACATGAACTAAATCACAAAGTTCTTAAACTCAGATCAGAGATCCTGGATAACCGCTATCATGAAGCTGGTTATCAACTGACTGCTGACTCTGGGTGCGAGTGCGTTCATGTGAAAATAATTCTCAATCAACATCATTAGAACCGTAAATGAGTGTATAATATGAGATGAGATCTAACGGTGATATCTGCTGGAAAATGTGATGATTGCCCCTGGGCCTGTGTCCAGAAGGCACGTTCAGTAATGTCCATATGTAATACACTGTAAAAGTTCAAAGTAATATAAGACTGTTTTTCCAGCCAAAACAAAGAGGAGCGAAAATAAAACAGGAATTTCTTAAAGTAGGTCACCTATGTGGTAGAATTGTGCAGTTCTAGTCAGAATTGGTGCCCAATGGCCAGAGAATACGAAGGAAGGGTAGACTTCTCTATTGCTCTAAATGGGGAAATCTACAACAACCACAATACTCATAATGTTGCTTTTAAAATCACTGAAGCCAGTTCTTATGTTATTCTGAGCTGCGGTGATGGATAAGCGTATAAAAGCATTGACACTGTCAGGAATCCTTTCAAAATAAAAGCAAGGAAAGCTCAGATAAAATGCAGAAATGATGGTCATCATGTATTCGATGTATTCTGGTTTAGGCTCCGTTGTATTTGTGTCTCTGGTGTCTTGTCTTCGTCTAAAGAAAGTGTGGTGGATGTGGTGAGAATTCAAATCACTGCCTCACTGTCTTCACAGAGGGGGCAATGGGTAAAGACTGAGAGCTGGTCTCCTCCATCCCCAGAGGCCCCTCCCGTGTGGTTTGAGGACAGATACCTGGAGAAGCACATCACACCAGACACTCTGAAGTCCAACATTAAAAGGAACCCTCTGTTCATGGACATGAGAGCGATGGAAGCGGCCTACAACAAAAAGTCCAAGCCCTCCTGGACTGTCAGGGAGTACGACACACAAACAATCCACGGGAACCTCGCCAATTATTTAAAGGTGATTTGTGGAGAGGAGGAGAGGCTGTGGGTGACCGACAGGATGGACGGCTGTTTGGGGGAGGGAAACCAAAAGGTCACAATGGAGGACAGCTGAATAGGGATACACTTTGTTGCTTGTTTGATTCATTTCACATTGTTGATGGTGCTACACTGCCTTCACACCAACTGACCCCCAGGGGCCCCAAAGGCCCTAAGCAATGCACATCAGTAGATATGAACAACTGATGGCGAGGCCTATTTTAATTTTCTTTGCAGGAGGAAGAGAAGACTCCGAGAGATCTGGACTTTTGGCTCGAGGATCTCTACACACCGGGATTTGACTCTTTACTGAAGAAGAAAGAAGCGGAACACAAGAGAAAAAGACTTTGTAAAATCTTTTCTGTAATCGTTTTGTCTGTTTGTGCCGTACTTATTGTAATCATAGTGCCAGTTGTGGTTCTACAGAAGCAAAACTGATTGATGAGGACATTGCCATCAGACCCCAATGTGCATCTATTACCACCACTTCTTCTTAAAGCAGTGGTAATAGATCGCTCCCTTTCATTATATTCTGACAGATGACTAGAAAAGTCATGGTGGACATGCTTTGGCTAAATGGCTGGGGACCATGAATATCCTAGGGTTATCCATATCCTAGGGTTATCCATATCCTAGGGCAGTTGTTCTCAACCGGTCTGGCTGCGGGACACACCATCACTGTTTAATGAAAAGCCACGACCCAAATCGAGGTCAATTTTCAACTTCTCAAATGTATTTAATGACAAGATGGTGCAGTTTGAACCTGGGCTGAAAATGTCCTCTGCAGTCGTAGTGTAGGGAGCTCTCTTGTGCAGAGAAATTGTTCCCGTCAGTCCCCGTCCCACACGTTTCACGTAAACGAGTAAAACTGCTTTGTTTGTTATGTCTGTAGATTCGTCCATTTGTAATGCAAAATGACCACTTGCCTAAATCGAGCCGTCGTCTGTTGTTTGATGTCATCCGACATGTCTTCAGTTAGTCTACTTATAGTGTCATTTGACAGAGATATAGTTTTCAGTTTATCCGCTGTGGATTGATCCAACACGTCCATGTCCACGGCTGCAGGTAAGTGAAACACTTTTGTGATCTCCTCAGATCTTGAAGTCGTCTTCGAAAGTACTCAACATGTTTATCTTTGAGAGAAGGGTGTTTCTTGTGCCAGAACCTCGCTGCACAGAACACAGAGGTTTTTGCCCTCTTTTGTCCTCAATGTAAGAAAATCCATATCTCATGTAGTCGGTGTTGTACTTGCGTTTTGCTCAATTAGCATGAAAACAAACTTTGTGGGTGTTCTTCTATACTGTGAAATGGCGGGTGTCTATTAGCATTTCAAGGCATTAACACAAATTACTGTTAAGGAGTGTGAATAACTCTGCTGCATAAAAAAATCGCCTTCAAAATAAAAGCACAGCAGCAACCACCAGCAGGACTTATAGAGTCATAGAGGCAAACACACTCCTGGAAATCATTTGAAAGATTATCCAACCACACAAGAGTTTCAGTGGCTTCACACACTGCAACTCAACTCAACTGAAATTCTAGTTTTTGCTCACCTCTGGTCCATGTGCTAATGGGTCTATTGTAAATGTAAGGTGATTAATTAGTAGTTTGATCGTAAAGTGCAAGAATAATGATTAATATGGATAATATAAGAAGATTAGAAGATAAATGTGTAAACCAATACAAATGTAGATTTGTCCCGGGACAGAGGATGTCCCATGTGCACAGATTGTAAAGCTCTCCGAGGCAAATTTGTAATTTTTGATTTTGGGCTATACAAAAAAAATAAATTGAATAAGAATAAATGCAAAGTCATCTTTAAGCCTCAAAGGCACAGTGTGTAGGATTTCATGGGGCTCTATTGGCAGAAATAGAATATAATATTCCAAACTATGTTTTCATTGGTCTGTAATCACCGGAAACTAAGAATCATTGTACTTCATTAGCTTAGCATGAGCACCTTCATATCGACATAGGGAGAAGCTCCTTTTCAGAGTACATAAAACAAACTAACAACATAGCAAATTATTATTCATTTTAAAATAGTCTTGATTTGTGTATATTGTAAAGTTAATCAAACAATGTTGAGTAATTGTTTTAGGATTTAAAAACAATGCTTTAAACATATTGTAACCACTCTCCTTCCCCCCCAGCCACCTATACAGTATACAGAGCACAAAGGGACACTACCAATGGAACTGATTTAATTTGATTGATTTATTGCAATAAAGATGTACAAAGTATTGGTAATCATAAATGTTAAAATGTTAGAAAAAGCATATCTGTGACTGTTAACAGTACAGTGTATCGAAACGCTGCTGGGTCGATTCCCTCCACGCGTGTGTGACAGCAGGTGAAAACAGGTTTGATCTGCTTTATTTATTGTTTTAACGTAATGTCTTTTCTCCAAAAGGCATTGAAAAGATAGAAATACAGAGACTCAAAAAAAGAGAAAAAAGACAATTTGCTAAAATCAAAAGGCAACGAAACGATAAAAGAAAAATATCAACATGCAAATTAACTTACAACCAAAACCAAAAATAGAGCAAAAAGAAGATAATGTGGAGAAAATCCTGAACTAAAATAAATATCTTTCTCCATATTGAAATTCGACATAATTCTTCCACTCTCTTAATTCATGCCATTAGACTACGAAGTTTATTTACAGGTTAGTTTATGTCCGCAGTGTGTACAACATCATCCATCATCATGGAGCGACCCACGACAGATGGGGACTGGGGCCGCTTTGGCAGAAAAAAATACATGGGAAGATCAGGAGATATCAAATGATGACATGGTGGCTGACTATGTGAGTACAGGTGACATTTGGTTTGTTCAGTAGAACAGTAGCATCGTCAGACAGGTTTTAGACTCTATGTGGAGATTAATGGAGTCACACACAAACACTAGTATTTGGTTGTGAAATGTGGACAGTAGGTATTTTTGTTTCATTAAATGACAAAGAGCCCCTCCAGGTCAGACTAATTAATATATATATATA